CTAATGTCCTCCAGATGTTTTCCATGACAGATGTTCAACCTGAAAAGCATCTTGACCCTCCTGTGGAGTTATCTCTCCATTGAGGGGAAATTTTACCCACTCAGCCCCTGCAAGCAGATCCTCCAGAGCTGAGTCCGACCGGCTCCAATTACTCTCTGCCCTAATGTCTCTTTTGCTGCTAAAGATAGTATTTCTGCCCGCCATTGTTTTGTTTCCTCGTTGCTTAGCGATGATGAAAAAATATCCTGAGCATCTGAACAAGATTCAGGAAAAGGCCAAACGGAAGGGATGGTTAATGCATGTGGAATTAGGTGCGGTCTTGGGGCGAAATTATTCAGACAGCAGTGTTCTCATAGGTATGTATGAATGCCAAGAGAAAGATTTTAACTTTTTCTTTAAAATAAATAAATAAATGGCCTTTTTAAGTAAAAAAAACCCCACAAATCCGTTATCACACAATGTTGAGATTAGTGGATAGGAAGGTATTTACAGCAGTGACCAAGCCAAATTGAGCAAGCCTCTAAATCTAAAATTATTAATTTGTATTTATTTATTTATCAATTTATATAGCTACCCGTATTTTTGGGAGTATAAGACGCACCAAGATTTTGAAGAGGCAAATTAAAAAAAAAAGGGTTTGCACTTTTGCAGACCTCCCAAAAACGGCCAATTTTTTTTCCCAAAGAGGGCATGAATAGCCTTTAGGAGGCTTGAAGAGTGCTCCTGGGGTAGTGCCCCCCCCCAAAAAATGAGCAAAAAATGGTCTGATTTTTGTGAAAATGGGCCTGTTTTTTGTCCAAAAAGGGCACACATAGCTTTTAGGAGGCTTATAGAGTGCTCCTGGGAGGGTGGGGGGCCAAAAACGAGCAAAAAACAGCCTGTTTTTTTGCAAAAATTGGCCTTTTTTGTCAAAAAAAATTGCATTATGGAGGCTTATAGAGTACTGCTGGGGGCTGGAGGGGCAAAAACAGCCCATTTTTCACTAATTCTGCCCTCCCCAGCCCCCAGGAGCACTCTGGAAGCCTCCTAAAGGCTATGCACTGCCATTTTGGTGAAGGGGGTGGGGTTTCAGGAGGCAAAAAATGCTGTATTCAGTGTATAAGACACACCCAGATTTTCAGCCTCTTTTTTGAGGGAGAAAGGTGCATCTTATACACCAAAAAATACAGTAGGTTCTCCCATGAGAACCTACTTCATGTGTCATATTCCATTCTCCTAATTCCTAATTTCTACTCATCATGTTCCAGTGAGAACTGGAATTCAAGCCATCACACGAATGGCCTCAAGAAGATTTGGCAATAATTAACTTAAGGCACAGTGTTAACTTGTAGTTGTGCTGATATAACTCATATGTGCAAGAAATGACACTCTAGATGTTTCTAGGTCTAAAACCATAATTTCTCAGGCAAAAAACATTCAGAAGCTTACT